ACCATTATATCCTAAACTTTGTTCCTGAAGTGATAATAAACATATAATTTGTTTTTGTTTGGTAGAGGTACGCTGCATACCAGGGCTCGGAAACGTTATTAAAAATAATGTTTTTAAAACGTTTGGCACGGTTCCTTGTATAACATTTTGTTCGGAACAAAAACGAAATGAGGACGTAATGTGAAAACGTAAAAAACGGTTTATTCCGCGGGAAGCTAAATGAATGGCGCGTGCCACGACAAATTTAAACCTATAAGGTATTTTTGTTTCGTATTGCAGGGCCAAAAAATGAGAAAAAAGTGTTTAAAATTATTAAAAATGTTTTATTGAACAAGAACGATTTAAAATTTCATTCTCTTTATAAACTTTTTTATTATGATTCCGTTCGAACATTAACGAAACAGATAAGTTTTTAGGTATTTAAGGCGAAAACGTTTCGACAAAATATACCGTTATCCAAGCCCTGCTGCACTCCTCGACCGGGGTAAGACCACTCTCTCACAGAATACCAACGTAAAATAGCAGCTTAATGGTATGTTTCGTATGGTGATTGTAGAGAACCGGAGACCCTTTTTACTAGAAACGAGGCATTCCATCTTAGTCCTCAGGGTGTAAATGTAGGTGTATATGGACCACAGCATTTATATACCATAAGGTGGACTGTATAAGGTATTCGTCACCTTTACTCAAATAAAAAAAAATTAAAAATAGAAGAAAAAAGACCGCCAAAACAATGAAGGAAAAATGGCGTTCAAGGAATATGTATTAATTACTTTTTACTTGTGGAATAAAGCAGTAAATAGTTATTAGGTATATGCCGTTAGAGAAAATATAATTGAGTCTAAATGTGATATGTATCTACGTGGCCGATCGATATCTTACCTAAAGTGACAGTAGCCTAGTTTAAAGCGTCTCCCACACAGAAGCGGCTTGCGGTGGCGGCCAGCTGTATTCGCTCGCAATATAAGTGAGTCTACAAACCCGTGCGGCCATGGCGCGGCCTGCGAGCGGCTGGCCGCGGCCGCATGCTCCGCCCCATTTGCCAATGCGTGTGTGTTAGCGAATACGCGGTTAGTCGTTGGCCGCAGTGCGATCACTTGCAAATTTTTACAACTGGCCGCGTGTATCGCGTGAAAAATGGTGGTAAATTCAGAAATTTTAATAGAATCAGTGTAAAATTATCCAGTACTTTATAATAATTCGCATCGTGATCACAAAAGCATTAGAATTAAAAACAAAATATATGACAATATTACTGAATATAATAAGACTTCGTCACGGTTTGTCATGTTTACTGACGTCCGATTGTACCACCACACTAATGGCGCTTCAGGCCGCCACTGCGACCGCGGTGGTATGTTGTTGCAGCGGTTGGAGCCACGGCACGCGGTTAGCCGCCACCGCAAGCCGCTTGTGTGTGGGAGACGCTTTATGTTAAGGTGCGGACCGCGAACTCAAGTCATGGGATCAAAACCGTCAATCGACTACTGTCGTGAACCACTCCTAACAATAGTATTTTTAATTACGAGTGCGGAAAGCCTCTCTTTGCAAAGAGTTCCGATAAATGTTTACCCGAGCCGAGGCGCAGCCGAAGGTGAGGGTTGACAGTCGGAACAAGTTGCAATGACGGTTCCGCACGTGTACTAAACAACTATTTTTAATACAGTTACAAAAAAATGAAACAATTTAATAAAATAATAAAAACACTAAACTCAACTAACTAATCATTTATTTCTTATAAAAGTTATAATTCACTTAAACATTGAAATTAGTACAGTTTTTTATACTAACTGGGGAAGTTTTAGGTTGCATATTAACTGTTTGAGACAAACTATTATTAATTTCGTATGATTGTTCATGTATATTTGTCAAAGGTGTTATACAATGGCGTTTGCTAGTTGATGGAATTGGAGCTGATGAATTATCATTATCAACGAAGGTAGATGGACGAACGTTCTCCTCAGTATTGTCATGTGAAGGAGACGGACTGGACTTTAAATTAATGGATTGTGTGATATTTTTCCCAGTTTCTAGTTTGTTGTTTACTGAATCAGCAATATAGCCTTCTGCAACTTTGTCTGAGTTCCAACCTCCTAGTCGCTTTAAGGACGTCCAATTGGCTCCTGAATCTGCCAATAATGTAGCAGAGGTCCTCCTGAAAGTGTGCCCAGTATAATACTCAGTATCCGGCAGACCAAGAAACGTAGCTATTTCTTTTGGAATATTACCAAATTTGTTTATCCCGATTGCTTGAGCTGTACACTTCCCTTTTTGAAAATTTTGGAAAAAACGGTCGGTTTTTGCTTTTTGGGACTATTCTAAGAAAATCTACTTCAACAACAAAGCTTCTAGTAGCATTTTTCCATGGGCTTCAATATCTTTTAAAGTAATACTGGCTAACTCCTCTCTGCGGCAAGCTCCAACAACGCCAAAAATCAGCACAACCTACATAAAAAGGGATTCGATTAATATTTTTTTAAATAATATATTGACTGTATTTTGCGATTTCGTAAACTTAATACTAAAGAAAAATATAAGTATTTATTAATAAATTACCTTTGTGGCTAAATAACGATCATCGGGAGCTTTGTTCAAAAACCTTTCCACTTCATTCGAATGTTAATATTTTCGACTTTTTAGTTGTAAAACCGTCTGAATGTCATTTTAAGAAAGCATTTAGTTTTGGGTATTCACTTATATCCACGTTGTTTTTTATTTTCAGCATACTTTTTATCATCGGAAACCTCGACCATAACGTAGAAGGTTTTAATTTTACTGAGAGTTCGGAGAAGTATACCAACATAACATTTTCTGAAAAACTATTTGCTTTTTTCTCTTTTCTCCGCGCAATAAATTCGTCGTATGTAGATATGTAGCGACTTTTTGACTTTTCCGGTAAAATGTTCTCCGAAGCATTTCTTGCAATTATACTGAGTTCCGGTGGTGTTAAATCAAATAAAATATCGTCGAAATTACTCATTTTGTGCAACAAACAACTACACTCGCAAAGAACATTTTTGGAAAATGGCGCCAACCGTAAAAGAATATAAGCAGAGATTTTTTGTTTTCTTCACCCATTCTGGGTAGGCAAAGGGAGCTATGCCCACACAGCCAAGTCTTCAGTAGAATTTTTTTATTGATATGAAATGAAAATGAAATTTAATGAGATGAAATGAAATGAAACCTAACTTAACTCATTGAATCAAATCATTAAATCTGATATTAAAACAAATTAGTAGCTTCTTTTTAGAAATATTTGCATGAATCATAAAAACTTCTATGAATTTTTTTAGTAAAAACTTCGTGGTTAGTTTTTTCTTTTTAATAGACATTATTTTGACAGTTGGGAAGGAGAACGAAGTTTTTACTAAAAAAAAATTCATAGAAGTTTTTATGATTCATGCAAATATTTCTAAAAAGAAGCTACTAGTTTGTTTCAATATCAGATTTAATGATTTGATTCAATGAGTTAGGTTAGGTTTCATTTCATTTCATCTCATTAAATTTAATTTTCATTTCATACCAAGAAAAAAAATTCTACTGAAGACTTGGCTGTATGGGCATAGTTCCCTTTGCCTACCCAGAATGGGTGAAGAAAACAAAAACTATCTCTGCTTATATTCTTTTACGGTTGGCGCCATTTTCCAAAAATGTTCTTTATTAAATTGCTTAATTTTTTTGCAACTGTATTAAAAATAGTTGTTCAGTACACGTGCGGAACCGTCATTGCAACTTGTTCCGACTGTCAACCCTCACCTTCAGCTGTGCCTCGGCTCGGGGAGACATTTGTCGGAACACTTTGCAATGACAGGCTTTCCGCACTCGTAATGAAATATACTATTATGCTTATCTGGTTTGCTAGATTTTTTTCTAAAATAAATACTTGGTTATACATGGCAATAGTCTTCTATGTATAATGTCCTCCAGACCGAATTTCGGTCACGGCGGCCAGTGTCAACGGAGACTAGCCATCGGCGCAAGACAGAACTATTGTGCCCAAATGTATACGCAAACACAGGTGCACTCTCTATTTACTTACTCTCATAGTCCGATGGGACGGTAATCAGACATAACCAGAGAGAGATCAGGCCCAGGACCAACGGCTTTACGTGCTTTCCGAGGCACAGGGGTGAGACCCCGTCAACTTCCTGGCTACGGGCAGCTACTGAGAATTTCTTGATGGAAAGCTCAATAACTGTTTTTTTGGCCGACTCAGGATTCGAACCCGGGGCGTCAGTCAGCAGTCGCCCTACTACAAACACTAGACCAACGGAGCAGTCTTCTAGATCGGCAATTTATAACAAAAACTGTGTCACAACTGTGGACCGCGCGAATAAAATATATACATAATTAATGATATACCGTTATTGAACTTTTTGAAAATACGATTAAATTAGGCTTCTACTTTTATTTGAGATTATCCCAAATTGAATGTAATTTATGGGCAACAACGTTTTAGCCTAACGATCGACCCTTACGAATGCGCGCAGTAAAGTTACCACGCGTATTGAATTTAAAAGATATAAAGGACAGAATGGTTGAGATTTTTTAAATTAATTTTTCTTCACCATTTGCCTATATTACTTATTCTGACACTTCTCTGCAAATTTGGCCGGTTATTGCAAAATAACCCTGTATATAATCCACTGCGATTGGCGTTTAATTTTCACTACCCACCCTAGATTTAAATAAAAATTGAATCAACACAATGACAGCCGTTCATATCAGTATCATTATTATATTGTCATATTGTTATAGCTATGTATGTAAATTAAATAAATTTAAATATATAACATAATAAATAGTAGGAGTTTTAAAGATTTCTGTAGAAAAATATTGCATCAGTTGATCATTTCGGCTACAGGATGGAGTTTTCTTGTGGACTTCAGTTACAACTGAATTTTAACAATGTTATGTATTGTGAAAGGAAAGTAAGCCTTACACATTTGTCCTATGAGTTATTTTACTACAATTCCAACTAAATTTTTAAATAGATTGTTCTAAAAGTCCCACTCCGTTTGCTTCTCTATCTCCATCTCTGACAATTTCTCTTGCAATAATAAAGCTGACATGTCACCTGAAAATGAAAATATTAAATAGTTACAGCCTATCAAAGGTCACTGTTGAAGATGGCCTCCCCCATAGATTGCCTCAGGGGGGGATTTTTGCTATAGTTCTATAGCAATACTTTTACAAAAGTAGGAGGGGCTTCTTGGGCGCTTCTTGATTAAGAATCAAAATGCAAATACGTTGTCACCCCAGATGACTAAGGTAGAATGCCTCGTTTCCAGTAAAAAGGGTCTCCGGTTCTCTACGCGCACCATACGAAACACAGCAGCATTAAGCTGCTACTTTACCCTAGTATTCTGTGAGTGTGGTTCTACCCCGATCGAGATGACCCATACGTGCTGCAGCTGTAATAGATCTGCAGCGTGACTCTTCCATGAGATACTATTGCTTATATTCAATTTAAAAGAGAATTATACAACTTTTTCAGTGAAGTCTTTTTACACTGTACAGGAATATTTTAACTACGATAGGTAATAGGAACTTGACAAACTAATATAATGGACGAATTATGAGATCTTTATTAATTATTTCCTATTTATTGACTACTTGTTGACATTTTGTTATAGACACTACTCTTAAATATTATTATCCCGATATTTTATAGTTTTAAAGATTTGCATGCTATTAATAATGACTGATTAAGCGGATGTTTTAATTAGTATGACCATCTTCAATGTACCTTAACCAAACACAAATAAATATTTCATTTCATTTTTATAATAGGCCAAAAAAATTGACAATTGCAGTACAAATATTTTTTGGCTATGGCAACATTTTTGCTTATCTTTTTGTTAGAACAGTAATTCAAGTATAGAGATCGGATTTCACCTAACATTAAGCCGTATGGCATTATATTACGCCTGGCACGCAGGTTGGCAACTGTAGATTTTACTAAACTGTTATCAGAAAAATGCTGCTGCCTAGCCCCTGGTATAGAATTCCTCTGTCGCCTCTTACGACTTCTACGGGACGATGTGGAGTAATGGATATTCTTACATGGCCACTACAAGGTACGGAGTTGAGAATAAAAGTTTCTCAAATGGCAAAGTCCTTGGCAGTAGCCAAGTGCAGTGTAGAGCGACCCCCTCCCCCCTTAATGGAGTTACGACCTGTAGAATTTATTGAACCACGTTGTCGTGAAGGTAGTCGGTGGATGCAGGTGGCTCAGGACCGGCCTCTGTGGCAAACAGCAGTGGACTGATGTGGGGCTGCAGTATTGTGGCGACGTCCGTGTTTAGTACGTATATACGTCTACGTAGTAACAATCAGATAATCTGTGACGTAACGAAACGACCTCAAAATGGCGGTGCTTCCCCATCCGCCACGCGCCATTTGTCACAGTCCTCACTCAACGTAACGAATTATTTGATCCTTTAGCTATCGAGTAGTGTAGTTATATTATGGTTGTAGATGACAGATGTATAGCTGCAATATCAAACTGTATACCCCATTTTTGTAATCATCAGTATTCTGAATTGCTACGTCATCACTCCATCTAGTAGGGGTCACCCCACACTTCGCCTACCGGTACGAGGCAGCCAATCGAGAACCTTTCTTCCCCATCGGTTGTCGGTTCCTCGAGCTATATGGCCGGCCCATTGCCACTTCAGCTTACTAATCCGTTGGGCTATGTCTGACACTCTGGTTCTACTGTGGATATTCTCATTTCTAAGTTTATCACACAGAGAAACTCCGAGCATAACCCTCTACATAGCTCGTTGAGCGAACTTGAGCTTCCTCATACGGCCAGCAGTGAAGGACCACGTCTCAGATCCATAAATCATCACTGGCAACACGCACTGGTTGTATAATTTCGTTCTCAAGTTTTGAGGTATACCTGACAAGCAGACGTGTCATAATTTACCGAACGCTGGCCAGGCGAGTTGAATCTATCAATTTACTATTTTTCCCAGGTAAACATACTCATTAACAACTTCAAGCTTAGTGCTCCCAACAACCACCGGCATGGTGTGACATGGACGTTATACATGATCTTTGTTTTGTCCATGTTCATCCTAAGACCTATCCGTTGGTTTGTCTCCCACTGTGGAAGCATATTTAAAGACGTATTCACGTCAAAATGTTTGGAAATCTACTTACTAGGGTCAGCTTTGATGGGCTTCACGCGACCGATGAGACTTGGCAAGAAGTCGGTTTTCCTTATCTGCTTGAAGAAAGCGTGATTCAGAAGCTGCGTTGCAGACGGTCGTCGCTCTGGATCTCTAGAGATATTATTCAAATTCAAATAATTTATTTGCAATCCAAGTGTACATAATTGGTCTTAATTTAAAGATGTGCTTACAACTTAGACGCCCTTTTCAGACACTGCAAAATTGACGAGGACACATAAAATATATACATAAAATATAAAATATACTTAGAAGCTGGAAAAAAAATACATAATAGTATTATTTTTTATCTAAATACTCCTCCACTGAGTAGAAGGGGTTTGTTTTAAATATTTATTGAGTCTTGCTTGAAATTTGGTTAATTCTGATATGTTTTTTATTGCCCGTGGTAATTTATTATAAACTTTTATTCCTATATAGTTGGGGCTTGCATTTAACATTTTTGTTCGCGACTGTGGTAGGTATTCTTTTTTTTTGTTACGTGTATTTATGTTATGTATATCTTTAATCTCCTTGAAAATATTATTACTTTTGTGGACAAACAGTCATAGATCATAAATGTACATACAGGGTAAAGTAATAATATTTATTTGTTTGAAATACGGTCTACAGCTAGTAGTGTTATCTATCCGGGCTGGTATTCTAACGCACTTCTTCTGGGTTGTAAATAGCTGCTGCACATCGACGCTACGTCCCCACATTATTCACAAGGAACTGAGAGGATGCCTTAATTTCACGGTATGCAAGTAAACATAGTTTTGTTCCTGTTCGCACGTGCTCGTCGGTGAAGGAAGATTGTGAGGAAGCCCGTCTTGATAATTTACGTCTGTTGTATATGAGATGTCCCATATCGTCGCGTGGGTGTCGTAAGAAGCGAAAGAGGAAAAACTGAAACCAGAAATAGGCAGCATAATCCTGATAAAACTCGAGGTTATAAAAAAACTGCGGTTGCCAGCCCACCTGCCAAGCGTGGCAACGATAGCAAAGTGACCTACGAGGCTATCTGAGGTGGAGGCCTATGTTCAGCAAGTGGCAGGCAGTAAAAGTATATGAGATGGTATACTGTCACCTACCAGAAGCCAATTAATTATTCTGGTGTTCCCCATAGTCGCCTCTTACGACACCCATGGGACATGGAGTGATGCGATATCATACTTATCATATACTTTTTTATTTAAAAAATAAGCAACTGCTGTAAGTTTTGCAAATAAAATTAATACGACGACGACGTCACTATAGAAACAGAAACTTTTTTATTCAATATAGATTATAAATAATACTTAATGAAAGTCACTAGTTTGTTTAATTACTACTGGTTCGAAATAAGCCTCTGTCCTGGGAAGAACCAGCAAGAAACCCAGCGGGACATTTTTTTTTAAATAACAGCTTACAATCATGTATGTTACACCATTAACCACACACACAGCTTGGTAGCGATTACCTCATTCCCAGGGGTTATTATCATCCATAAATTCCTTAATATTATAATAACCCTTTTTATACAAACTTTGTTTAATAGAGTTTTTGAAATTTGAGCAGGTCAAATTTTGTATATTTTCTGGGATTTTGTTGTAAAAGCGTATACTTCGCCTCAAGAATGAATTACTGACTCGGTGGTACTACTAGCTCGTGTCTGTTCCTAGTATTTACAGAATGAATATCACTTATTTTTGTATAACTACCTTTATTTTTGTGTACGTACGTTTTGTATACGGCAACTATACTGTATCCAGCAACATTACTCCACATTGTTCCAGTTGGTGTGGGACGGATATGTATTAAAGTGTTTATCTGGGGTTTATACCAAAAAATAACACACCAACTGTATTACTTGCCTAGCATGTCGTAAGAAAATTAAATTGAAAATTTCAAAAACGCCCCGAAACAAAAGAGCTGGTGATCTTCAAACGGCTGTAAAGATTTTCTTGAATCATAGCTAAGAAAAGTCTCGATGAAGACATATTTCAAACAAAAAAAACCACACCCGACCCGGCTCATCCGTTTAAGAGCTATGGTGTCACAGGCCGACAGACACTTAAAGCAGTCAATCTTTTTGCGTCGAGGTTTAGAAAAAGACCAATGTAATATTAGATTTGTGATTGTGTAAGCAATGGGTTAGCTCACCGATCATCTTTTACACAATTTTTTAGGTCAAACGTGTCCCGAGTAGCTCACTTCTCTTTAGACTCTGCCTACCCACTCCGGGAATTATAGGCGTGAATTTGTATGTATGTATATCGCCACACTGACCTCTGCAGCGCCATCTCACTGATGTGGTGGAAGGTGTCGGACAGCTTCCTGTTTGCGTACACTTGCCGCAGTCGGGATACTCCGTCAGCGCTGTCACCCACCCCGCTGTCCGTGTTATACATACCTGAAAATTTTTTTTATAGGATAAGACCGAGAAACGAGCACACAGTCCACCTGATGGTAAGTGGTTGCTGCGGCCTACAGACATCTACATCTATCCTCGATTACGAACCAAAATGCATGTGCGTTGTCACAGTAAAAAGGGTCTCCAGTTCTCTACACTCACCATACGAAACACAGCAGCGTTAAGCTGATATTTTACGCTGATATTCTGTGAGAGCGTGGTCCTTCCCTGGTCGAGCCGACCCATTAGTGCTACAACTATACTACTAATATAGCTGCAGCAGCATGGCAATTTTAACTTTTGAAGATTAAGACGTACTTATCTTCACGCACAATCCCTGACGGGGTAGCCAGAGAAAACAGATCGCCAAGTGTCACGATCCTTACAAACCTCTTTCGCTTCTTTCAGATTCATTATCTTCTTCATGCATGCACGTCTAGGTATCCGAGTACTCTTGACCCTACCCTCTTCGAGCAATTTGCTCACATGGTCTTCGAAAGTTAGTCTCGGTCTACCTCGACACCTTTTAATATTAACTTTCGCGCTATATATTTTCTTCACCATTCGGTCTTCACTCATTCACTCCACGTGCCCAAACCACCGAAGCACGCCCTTATCAATTTTTGTGATAAGGTCATCTTTCAAACCTGCCATATTGCGAATCTCTTCGTTTCGCTTTCAGTCGGCCATAGTAACGCCGCACAAAAAGATTAAGACGTAAAGTATTTATAATAATTTGATATAAAATCATCATCGTGTAGTAGCATAGTTGGTTTAGTGGTCGCAAAAGCGACTCCTGATCAGAAAGTCCGAGGTTGAGATTAGCGAGATCTCTCTCCGGTCGTATCGGTCTATGAGAGTGAGGGAATAGAGAGTGCACCTGTGTTTGCACACACACTCCTGCATTAATATCCTGTCTTGTGCTGGCTAGTCTCCGTTGAGTCTGGCCGCCGTGACCGAAATTCGGTCTAGAGGACGTTAAGACGCGACAGAGGGTAATGAAAGAGGAGATCAGCACGGCAAGGGCAGCAGCATGTTTCTGATATAACCGGTTCACACGGCGCGGCTCTCCAAGGCTCCTGTACTGTGGGTTTAAGGTAATTAACCATCCACCATACAGACCAGATCTAGCCCCTAGTGATTACTTTTTATTCCCAAACTTAAAGAGAAACCACCAGGGAAAACGATTTGCTGACAATAATGAGCTCAAGTCCACTGTAAATGAGCATTTTTCAGGTCAAGACGAAGAGTATTTTTTCAAGGGAATTTAGTTAATGATGATAATAATAATGTTGCTATATTGAAAAATAAAAAATATTTCATAACTTTATCTTTTTTTTAACATATCCATACCGAGAGTACATTGGAACGGCCTTCGTATATATTGCTATAGGCCAATGTACTTAATTTTTAAGTACTTGGGACCTTAAATAAAGATTATATTATTATTTGTATTGTCAAAAAACACTTACTCTTCATCTCCCCATCGTCAAGAGGCTCCGGAAACGACGAACAGTCTAGTAGCTGAGGCCTGCTTCCCCTTACTTTCTCCGTGAACATGAGGGTAGTGGGCACTTCCGCGAAGGGAACCGCGCCGTTGGCAAGTTCGCAGCACAGTACGCCCAGTGAATAAATGTCGGAACGTTCGTCGTAGCCCTTCAAGTTCTAGTATGAGAAAAAGACGGGTAAAAATGAACAGTTAACTTATTCCATAAAGCCACTAACAAATCAATCACTTGCAAGGTTTCATTGCACTTTTTATTGTTCCAATGGTGCTGGTTACAGGTTTAATTATTTATGTCTCTTCTTCATCGCTCCATAAAGTCCACTGCCGGTCATTACCTCTTCCATTGAAGGTCGCCGTAAACGCCACGATTGTCACGCGGTTTGCCAATCACAGTATAAGATGTCACACCATGTTAACACTTTCCCATCACTAGTCAGGGTATTTTGTATCAGGCATTTATTTGATTTTGAAGAGTATAGAAATACATTATGACTACAGGTCATGGCATATTCTATCATAGTACAAATGGATCGGATATTTTTTGTTTGGAATTGGCTTACATAAATATTGGCAGTAGTTGGAACAAGTTTCTTATGTACACCTTCCAATCAATGTACAGCAAGTGAATGATATGAAAGTATTAGTATTAAAAAAGACTGAATTTACTCAATTATCATTTGCTCACCTGTTCTAATAATTCTGGACTCAGCCACATCAAGTTAGCATTATCGTGATCAGGTGGAGGAAGATTGTGTAGTTGACGCTGGCGTCTGCCGCGCACCATCATAGATGCGGCAGTACGGAGCCCTGACAGTTTTACACTACCATTTGTGTCCAGAAGAACATGACTAGCGCGGACACTTCTGAAATTCAGTGCGATTGTTTTAGTGGTCATCATACTTGAGATGCGATTGATTTGCAGATTCTTGGATTCAAATTCCAGTCAGGTCCAATATTAGTGAAAAACACAAATTAATGTGTTGCAATGTTTTCATGTTTTTGATACTGCAGCATATCATGAGAGAGCCATGATGCAGCTATATTATGGTTGTAGCACAAATGGGTCGGCTCGACTGACACTCTCTCACAGAATACTGACACCCTTTACTGGAAACGGGGCAGCCATCTCAGTCCTCAGGGGTGACAACAAATCTTCATTTTGATTCTTATTTCAGGATAAATGTCTTTGAGCCAAAACTTACAATCAGGTGGACTGTGTCTTCGTTTGTCACCCGTTCGTTTGTTTACTTTTATCTACATTTTTTCAGAGTACTTAAGTGTTCTGCAATGCTCTCACAAAAGGTTCCTTAAGTAACAACCTTAGGTGACAATCTTTAGGTGACAACCAATAATATTTATATATTAGGAAATTAACAGCGGAACCGGTAAAGACAAACCTTGTAACTCAAACTTTCAATTAAAAATTAACAAAAAATTGACTAAATCAAGAAGTCGCAGCGGTGTTTGACAAATATTTCACTGATATTCCTATCTTGACAACAGAGTCATTGAATACTTCTTCAAATGTCGCCAAGTCATTACTCAAACAGAATGTTAATACCTGCTTAAAATAATTTAGATTTGAAAAAGTATTACCGCAAGATATTGTAAAATACTTCAAAACCATTGATGTAAAGAAAACCGCAGATTTGTGGGGGATTTCCGTTACAGTTATCGCGTCCATAATAGATTTAATTGCACCTCATCTTGCTATTATTTTTAATACTTGTATCGATTCTGGTGTGTTTCCTGATTCAATGAAGTATAGTAAAGTAATACCTTTATTTAAATCTGGTACTACATTGGACCCCGCTAATTTTAGACCTATTTCTGTACTACCAACTCACAGTAAAATTTTTGAAAAAATAATTTTGGGTCACTTGTTAATTTTTTTAATACAAATAATTTACTACATAAAAACCAATTTGGTTTTACAAGGGGTCGCTCGACGTCTGACGCCGGTGTTGAGCTTATGAAATATATTTTTAATGCCTGGGAGAATTCACAGGATGCCTTAGGTATTTTCTGAGATCTTTCCAAGTCTTTCGATTGTGTTTATCATGAGACATTAATCAGGAAACTATAACATTACGGTGTAAAAAATTTGGCGCTTAGACTTATTACTTCATATTTAAGTAACAGAATTCATAAAGTCGTGATTAATGGTAAAGGTTCCTCCGGATCGGTAGTATCAATGGGCGTTCCTCACGGCTCGATTCTTGGCCCATTCCTGTTTTTAATCTATATTAATGACTTACCTTATCTTGTAGGGAACAATCACGATATAGTATTATTTGCTGACGATACTTCTTTAATTTTCAAACTCAAACGGCAGTCAATTAATTATGACGATGTAAATAATGCTCTATCGAAATTAGTACATTGATTTAACGCCAACAATATGCAATACCTAATGTAAAAAATTGGAATACCAATGTGCTGTTAAATGGGGAGGAGTTGAGTCTTATAGATACAACTGTTTTTCTCGGTATTACTATTGACGCGAAACTACAATGGGGCCCCCATATATCTAAATTAGCGAGCAGACTTAGTTCTGCAGCATATGCTGTAAGAAAGATTAGAAGTCCCACAGATGTTGAGACAGCTAGATTAGTGTATTTTAGTTACTTTCATAGCATAATGTCTTATGGAATTTTGCTATGGGGTAATGCGACTGATATTGAAGCTATATTTGTTTTGCAAAGGAGAGCCGTTCGGGCGATTTATAACCTAAATTGTAAAGAGTCCCTCAGACAAAAATTTAAAGAAATAAACATATTAACTTTGGCATCGCAATATATTTATGAAAATGTAATGTATGTGCATAAAAACATAAGCTTGTAATGCCAGTTACTAGACTCCACAGAATCAGTAATTAATTTATGGGGCAATGTATACGCTTTTAGAACAAAATCCCAGAACATATTCAAAGTTTGTCAATAAACAAGTTTAAAAGTGTTATTAAAGAAAAACTGTACAAAAAGGGTTATTATAATATCAAGGAATATATGAATGAAAATAACCCCTCGGAATAAGGTGATCGCCACTATGCTGGTTCTATGAAAAATCATTTAAAAATTGTATAAATGAAATTATTGTCAATGTGAAATATGTTTGAAAAAAAAAGTCCCGCTGGGTTTCTTACTGGTTCTTCCCAGGACAGAGGTATTTTCCGAACCAGTGGTAAATAAAAAATGTCTTTCAATAAGCATTATGTAATAATCAATATTGAATAAAAAATTATTCTATTCTATTCTATTCTATATAATATTTATAAATTTTAAGTAATATTAAGAATTTATGTTAGACCACAATGTGTAGTGGTGGTGTAGGAATAAACACACTACACTGTATCGTGCTATGGGTTCAGTATAAGGCGACAAAGGTAAACAAACCAGAAGATGGGCAGCAGTGTCTTTCTGACAACTAAAAAATTAAAAACTGCATTCGCCAAACTACTTGCGAAGCCTGTCATGCGTGGCATTTATGGCATGTATGGCCCTATGAAGCAATCTATGAGGGAGGCTTGACCCCCATGCAATTTTAGCTGCCGGAGCTGCGTCAAAATATTTAATATAATTTTCTAAAAATATTCATAAATCACTAATTAATACCTCAAACGCAACTTTTGACATTGACAGTAATCAGTAACTGATATACTCGACCAATGAGAATATAACCACTATGTTTATACTCGACTTCGTGACTCGCGTCATTCAGTTGCTTCCGAGTTTACGTGAATGTGCTCCTTATTGTAATTATCTGCCTCCTGTTTTTGGATGACTTTGCTACCCCTCTGGAGACCGATTGCTTGCTATTTTTTTTATAAACAATCCTGAAATAAGAGCCCCGCAAAGCGGGGCTCCATCAACCGAGCTTCCCTCAACTGCGCCATGGCGTTGGGCTACCCTCCCCCAACTCTCTGTCCCCACAAATTAGGTTTATATTGTTAAAAACATTACAGGCAGGAAATGGAAGTGGGGGGTGACTTTACAACTCCCATCCCCTTCTTCCCCCCATCCCCAAATTCAGGCTACTCAATCGAGTAGAATCCTAAACCTTACCCAACATTTATACCAGTTCTAAAGTATTATTGCATTTAGAGTGCTAAATATTTTAATTGTACTTACGTGTGAAATGTATAATTGTGTGGATTTTCTTTTCTCAATTAAACTGCATGCAGCTATTGCACATGCACCATATTTAATCACACCTTTTAAACACTTATTAATACTTCAAAATCAAAGATATCGTGAAAATAAGCAGGATTTGTTTCATTAACAATTAACATCAGCCCAATATAGGCCTATAGTGTGTACTTGTATGGTCTAGCCATTCTATCTCGTTCTAACTTAAGCATATGCTATGCCCTTTCTCTTTTACGTTGCCAATCTAACCTAAGTATATACTAAATCTATGGGCGAATATCCCAGCCAATCTATAGGGAAGGCCTATGTTCAGCAGTGGACTTTGACTGGCTGTAACAATGATGATGACGAATAGATCATCATCATTTCTTAATTCTTTATTTCATTTAATTTTAAATGGTAAAGATAAAAAATTAGGAAAATGTTACCTGTGAACAAACAGTTGCTTGTGTAAATACTGTAAAGCTAGTAGGACATCTTTCAATATAATAGCACAGGCAAGCTCTGGTAGACCTTCTTGAAAATACCGATCAAGAATGTCACGACATGACCCTAAAGTCATTAATGGGGACACCACATACAACTCTTGGCCATGGACAAAAGATGTCAAGTATGACAGAATGTTGGGATGCTGCAGTTCTTTCCTGGTGAGGATATCTTGCTGGAATGAAGAAATATTTGTTTGAATAAGAAAATGTAAATGCCAGTCTTTCGGTAAACAATGAGTAGGTATACTTTTGTATTTAAACAAACTTTCTACATAATAATATCAAATAACAAAGTCAAACATTTAAATAGTTGGAGTGTAACAAATAACTGTTTATTTACCAAATGTTTGTCAAACCAAATCAATCAAAAACAATCACTAATTACCTGTATCAAATTTGCTTTCTCTTTCTCTTTGCTTTCATCCACAAAATATCTCTTGATAGCCACATTTTGATTATTTGGCTTGTACAAAGCTGAATAAACAACGGCCACTCCGCCACAACACTCTGCTATAATGGAAGTTAATTGGTAATCATTGATATCAGGATTAAACATCGCAAGGCTCGAAACAAATTTGTTTTAAATCTTAGTCTTATTGAAGGTACGCAGTGTTAGTTTAGGTATGTGCAGTTATAAAAATATCATGTTGATAAATTATATATTTTGTTCTAAAAATAGTCACTTTATTGGCGAAATAAATATCAACAAAATAAAATTGTCTTATCTTTAGACCTCAGTTGACATTTAAAATGACAATGACATTTGACATAAACGTTCCGAAATAGACGTAATTTCTTAAGTCTTTTATTTTATGCCAAGGAATTAGTTAATATAATAATTCCATGTTTTATCTTTCTTCTGACTACTACTTTTTATTTTTTAGGCTTTGACATTTAGTTTTTTTAGAATAGAGAAAAATATAATTTATTTATTTTGTCTTATCAAGAAAAATAAGGATAAACATTCCGAATGACAACGGAATGAGCAGTCTGAATTAAATCAGCAGGCGTAGTCCCATCATATTACTGTTAAGAAAATCGTATTCTTGAACAAAGAGTTTAATATAATAATAATAATAATAATAATAGTAACCACTAAGTTTCTCACTTCTGAAACTGAAGTACTAATTATGTATCGAAGCTAGCGCACAATCGAATGGTGGTTCAAATTGGAATTAACTTCGATTGAGTATTGTAATTGTGGCGGTGTAACAATATCTACCACCTCATATCGTCCCGTGGGTGTCGTAGGGGTCGACGGAGGGAAAATGAAATAGGAGATGGGCATCAGCATCTTCCTGATAACAACTCAAAATTATAAAAACTGCGGTTGCCAACTATTTGTTACACTTAGCACTTGCCAATCATGGCAATTGCCTGCCAAGCGTTGTAACTAAGGCAAATCCCTATGTTCAACAGTGGACTTTTATAGACTAAAATATTGCATAAGGCTTATGTTCAGCAGTAGACTTTTATAGACTAAACTATGGCATGAGGCTTATGTTCAGAAGTTGACTTTTATAGGTTTTAATAGATGGATAGATGGAGTATCATAAGGATCGAAAAATTCGTATGTTGTACAAGTTGTCAAACACAATAACAGAAAAAGTACTTTATTTAGATCTTAAGCGATTGGTTTAATCAATAGTTTTGATGAAATTACATTCTAATTTTACATCGTCTTAACTTGTGTTTCGTCCTTGGTGAAAGCACATTGATGCGACCTTTTCTCATATTTAATTAATTAAATTAAATTTTATTAATTAACTTAAAACAATCACCAGCTTTTCCGTATCATCGTATCACAAATTTTGTAACCATATTCGAATAAAATTTTTACAATCTGCCATTTTTATTGGATATATGTACAAAATTGCATTGACTTGATTATACAGAAAAGGGCCAAGTAATGTAAAAAATCTATGCATGAAAGGATGCCTTATTCTAATGTTAGTTTCACTTACTTTATCTTTGCGTTTTTTTTCAGTGACCTCTCTTCTGTAGGCCATATTTAAGTGCTGTTTTAGTAACGTACTTATAACGAATAATTGGCGCATGGAGAGCATTTACATAAGAGTGGGAGATGGGACAGAAAAATAAGATAGGGCGGGATGTTGCAACTTTTTATACGTAATGTTTACTCGTTTATGTGTAAATGAGTAAACTTTGTCTACTGTACTTGCGTAATAAAGGAGCACGTGTACTAAACACTAAACAATCTAATTTAATGTAATATGTATTACTAGAGAGATACATTGAGTTTTAATGCGATGGCCAAGTCAATCTATTTGAAACATAAAAGATTTTTAATATTGATATGGTCACTATAAGATGTTGTTAAGTTAGCTAAGACCCTTAAATAGGGACTGAATAAATTAACCGACTTGATATTACATGGATCTGACAACTTTTTACGTTAGAACTGAGTTGCGAGACTTGGTTTTTTTACAAGTTATGTTTTTGATGGCATATGATAATTTTGATTACGATACGTAATTTTTTTGGACTTTCTAATTGTATTTGCTAAAATATTTTCTTAAGGAATCCTCCGCTAGATGGCGCTCATAGTTGTAAGAGGCGAGAATATTTTTTCTTGATAATTTTGTCCTTTTAAAGTAATAAAACTATGATGAAATAAGCGATGAATTGAAACAAATTTAAGTAGGAAATAATAAATACATGAAACATTTCATTGGTCAACTACTAATGAACATTCACTAAAACAAATCTATTAAAAATGAACTTATACAACAACAAGAAAACAAATATCATTCTATTAAAAACGCTTCTGCTGGACTTGACCTATTATCAAAATTATAATTATATATAAATTATCATCAAAATCAATTTATATATGAAATTTATTTTACTTCAGTATAATTTTACAACAATACTGAGTGTTAAAATATATGGTAATGAGAACTTTTTACGTCAAATTTATATATTTTCAATTTTTATTTTAAATATTTTCCCATAACGCACATCATTTTCGAAATAATAGCAAAAAAAAAATAGTTTAAAGTGATTTTTCAATAATTGAAGAACAACTTGTCCAAAGACCATTATCATATGTAGTTAGCGGTAAGCTAGTATTCAATAAACAGTTTAGAAGTCGTGCCAACGAGGGACTTACTCCGGTACGCCTTTTACCGAAATTATATCGGTATGACTACAAAATGGTATTATCGTACCGTAATTTATTACGAAATCACTACCTTTATTTAAATTTGAGTCAACCTCACTACGGCAGTGAAACTAGGAAGCGAAAAAGTGAGTCAGCATGATAATGAATCGTATTTAGCAGGGACTGATTTAAATTAAAAAAATGTAATAAATGAGAAAAATGTATATTTTTTACTGTTTCAATATATACAATAACATACTTCCAAAATACTGATTACATGAATATTGAAGATTGGAACACACAACCGCAACACAACTTAGAACAGCCTGATGAATACATCCATACACTAAACAGTCAACATACAATGACTTACATCTCTGACACACCTACAAACATCTTGCCAACAAAAATACCCCTCAACGATAGCACACGTACTAACATCGTATCGCACACCCTTTTGAATACAAATGATGAAAATATCTTAGGTAGATAACATATAATATATTGATCAATTTGGGCCTATGCAAACTAACTTTGATGTTGCTCCAGAAATCAACTCGGAAATAGAAGACATGTTTCTACAAGCTCAACAATATTTTACATATACACACTCCACTAACAGGCCATACAATCCCAAGTAGAAATCGTCTAGAAGGTTCACTGCTATAATCACATATAACACTGTCATTCTTCCTAAGAACGTAAATTTAGACACCGATTTCCATCGGTGTCTAGATTTATCATCCATTCATACATAGCCACTTAAACACATTCATCCAATCACCACATTTACTTCCAACATATATAACACATGGAGTAACATATATGATAAACAAAGACATGAATGACACCATAAACCCAGCGAAATACCGACCAATTACTTGTCTACAAATCTTGTACAAAATCTTAACAGCCTGCGTAAGCGAAATATTAGTATATGAACATTTAACCAAAAATAATATTCTAGCAGAACAACAAAGCGATGTCGTAAGAATAGCCAAGGATCTAAATAACAACATACTATTGATGCAATTATTTTGAATAGCGCTATTAGAAGCAAGAAAGATATTCACACAATGTTTATCGATTTCCAAAAGGCTTTCGATTCAGTACCGCAGAGCTGGTTATTACATGTCTTAAATCTGTATAAAGTTCACCCAACACTAAAACTATTCTTAGAAAATTCTATGCAAAATTGGGAAACTGTGCTTAAGATTAATCAATCCTCTTTGAGTGTAACTACTGAACCAATCTATATAAAACGTGGTAAATTTCAAAGAGATGCCCTAAGTTCTCTGTGATTTTGCATGGCCCTTAATCCACTTTCACACTTAGTAAATAATACTGACATGGGATTTACATTGAAAAACGATACCACGCAATATACCCTAACACACCTTATGTACATGGATAACATAAGCTGACAAAAATACACTATTCCAACTAGCAGACACAAGCACAACACAACAATTTTCTCAAGATATTTGTATGTCATTCGGAGTAGATAAATGCAAAATATTGTCTATTGTAAAAGGCAAGATTCAAAATAATAGTTATACACTCAATTCAAGGGAATAAATTAAACCAAAGGATGAACACATCATCATCATCATCATCATTATTACAGCCTTTCACAAGTCCACTGCTGAACATAGGCCTCCCCCAAGGAATGCCACAAAGCACGGTCCTGAGCCACCTGCATCCATCGACTTCCTGCATGTCTTACCAGGTCGTCACTCCATCTCGTAGAGGGTCGCCCTACACTTCGCCCACCGGTATGAGGCTGCCACTCAAGAACCTTTCTTCCCCATCGATTGTCGGTTCTTCGAGTTATATGGCCGGCCCACTGCTACTTCAGCTTATTAATCCGTTGGGCTATGTCGGTCACTCTGGTTCTACTGCGGATATCCTCATTGCTAAGTTTATCACGCAGAGAAACTCCGAGCATAGCCCTCTCCATAGTTCGCTGAGCGACCTTGAGCTTCCTCATACGGCCAGCAGTGAAGAACCACGTCTCAGATCCGTAAGTCATCACTGGCAACTGGTTGTACAATTTCGTTTTAAGGTTTTGAGGTATGTCTGACGAGAAGATGTGTCGTAGTTTCCCGAACGCTGCCCAGCCGAGTTGAATCCGTCGATTGACCTCTCGGTCGAAGTTTGACTTACCTAGTCGGACTATATGTCCCAGGTAAACATACTCGTCAACAACTTCGAGCTTAGTGCTCCCAACAACTACCGGCATAGGTGTGACATGGACATTAAACACGATCTTCGTTTTGTCCATGTTCATCTTAAGACCTATCCGTTGGGAAACACTATTGAGGTCATTGAGCATGGTGTTTAGTTCTTCCAGCGATTCTGCCATAAGGACTATATCGTCGGCAAATCGAAGGTTAGTGATGTACTCGCCATTGATGTTAATACCGTATCCT